GTCAGCTGTGCCTCTGCTGTTCCATTCCCTGCCCCATTAAATAGGTTTCCGGGTTTGTCCAGTTTTCTCCCCTCCCTGCCCTGTGAGTGGGATCCTGAGTGCACAGTCCAGCTTATTGTGGCTTTATCATGTAAAATCTGGAGAAAAGAGAAGGAGGGAAAGGATAAGAGGTTCAGGGCTCTAGGTTTGGGAGTAGAGTTTTGCAGGGAATTAGAAAAAAAGGGGGGATAAAGGCAACTAGTGTGTGAAGGGAAGTGGACCAGAGAAACAAGCCTCCTCTATGTATTCAAGAAATACAAATAAAACACGTGAGTGTTTCCAAAATCACTTTTTTTGTCTGCTGCGGTTTTTGGAGATGATCCTGTTCTGAGACTAGACTATATGAATTATTGTTTTATTTGTATTTGTATTTTATTAATTTCTGGTTTATGAATATATGTGTAGATGATGAACAGGACAAAATGGTATGCCCTGAAAAGTAAGCCTCCCTCCCATCTCTGACCATGAGTTGCCCAGTTCTCTTTCCCTGATGCAACCATGTTATCAGTTTCTTGTGTATGCTTCCAGTAATAGTGGATACAAAGAAAACGTATGTATAAGTAACTCCTAGCCTTAAAAAAAAAAAAAAAGGGTAGGGTATTATATCCATGGTTCAGAAGCTTGCTTTTAAAATTTAAAAACATACCTGAAAATCCTCTATAGTAATATATAGTTTATATACAATATATAAAAATTTGCATTATTAAAAATGTTAATCATACCTTGATAAGCATCACGGATGAGTGAATGAAGAAGTGCTGTGTGGTTATTGTAAGCGGTAGCCACATTTTAATGCAGCGTGTCCTCTAGAGATTGCTGCCTGGTGGTTCCTGTCTGCCCATTTGCTGTTCTGGGCAAGTGTGTCACTGTGTTTCTGCTCCTTGTAGGTAGATGCAGTCCAGTGGGTAGGAAAATTTAGTGAGAGGAGTAAGCAATCTGAGCTCTGTCAGGCAGAATGGAATGTTCTGAGAAAAGAAAGAAGAGAAAGAAAGAAAAGAAAAGAAAGAAGGAAGGAAGGAGGAAAGAAGGAAAGAAAGACAGAGAAAGAAAGAGAAAGAAAAGAAAGAAAAAAAAGAAAAGAAAGACAGACAGACCACTGTCCCAGAAGTCTTCACTGATTTCAAGTTTGGTGAATTTTTAGCCAAATATCACTTAAGTGTGAGCTCAGAGTTTTTCTGGATTATATGAAGCTTTTCCTCGTGAAGGTACATCATATAGTACAAGTTTTGAGTATTACCTCAGTAACCCTTAGAATAGCAATTTTACTTTCAAGTACCCTATCTTTTCTTTTTTTTTTTTTTGAGACAGAGTCTCACTCTGTTGCCCAGGCTGGAGTGCAGTGGTGTAATCTTGGCTCACTGCAAGCTCCGCCTCCTGGGTTCACGTCATTCTCCTGCCTCAGCCTCCTGAGTAGCTGGGACTACAGGTGCCCGCCACCATGCCCGGCTAATGTTTTGTATTTTTAGTAGAGACGGGATTTCACCGTGTTAGCCAGGATGGTCTTGATCTCCTGACCTCGTGATCCACCCGCCTCGGTCTCCCAAAGTGCTGGGATTACAGGCGTTCAGGTACCCTATCTTGAACTCACTCATACAACATACACATAATGGAAGGCTAAAAAAACTGTTTTTCATAATCTCTGGGATAAAGTGAAATGGTTTTCTCAAGTGTGTCTAAATGACCATGGAGACGGAACTCAGTTATCACTGTTTCCAATCTTTATCTGGACACTGCCCTTTACATAGTGGTTACTTGAACCTCAAGCCTAGGACATCCACGTAACAAAACCCAGCCATGTTCCTTTTAATATCTGTGGTAGAACTTGGGCCTTCATTTTTTCAATTATAGTTGGGGAAAGAAAAAAGAAAATTACAAGACCAGAGAGATGAAAGAGATTCCCCGTAAGACACTTTTATTTATTTATGCAGCCTCTTCTCATCTCCTTTCTCCATCTAGATCTCCCTCCTTACTACCACTGCAGCTGAGAAAGTAATTATAGACAACACCAAAGAGCATATAAACACTTCCAAAGCCAATTCCTGTTATAAATGAGACTTTAGGAAGTAAAGAGCTTTGCAGCAGTTAAAAAAAGTCTCTGAACCTGGTTGGGATGTCAGGACTAAGGATTTGATCCATAAAAAGTTCCTAAACAGCTCCACAGAAATTGTAACCATATGTTTACAACGTGAAAATGCATATTTGAATTGAGATAAACCTGGCATCCAATGCATATGCCGTTGATGCAAATAAAGCATTTTCTCGTGAATACAATTTACTTAAATGAGGAAGCGAGTTAGATGTGGTGGGGTCTCAATGTTTCATTTTAGCAAATTGCCTTGAAGTGATACTATGATTTTAAAATTTGCTAGTGTGTCATTCTGCACCAGGTGTCCATGGGCAGGCTGTCTCAATGACTGTCAATACAAGGAGGACCTCCCTCCTTAGGCGTGACTGTGCTTTGATTCTTCTGATTACAAGGAGATGTACATTTTAAGACATCTAGAGTCAGAGAGTAGCCAAAGGATTTTATTCAGGTTTTGTTTCCTATCAAATACTGTGTCACATTATCTTCAGATATTATCTGTTTTGTCAGATAATTCCGTATACAGCTAGGTTCTCAGAATTCAGAATGTGGCTCTAGCACTTCTGGGATTTTGAGCTGGCTTGCATATTGGCATCTACTCTGGGGATTTTGTCTGTAGCCCATTGTGGAGGCCCAGCCTTTGTGGGGGCTGTCCGATGGTTATGCTAGCAGAAAGCGGAGTAACATTCTGACCCTGTTTCATACCGTCCTTAGGCTTTTCATCTATTCAATCATGACTTTCCTTTGCCTTATGTAGGATACCAAGGAAAAGGGTTTTTCCCTCTAGTTTTTAGATTCATTTCTACCCATCCAGGTAAGTGTCAAGCAAGAAGAATTTCTAACCCAAATACATCCAGTGGGAAATCTCAAAATTTTAATAGTTTCATCTCCTAGAACAGGCATGTTTGCCTGTTTTATATCTTTGTATATTTTGAAGATGTACAGCAACCTTAGTAGTACTGTACTTAAAAGCAGGGGTCCTACCTGCTCTGTGAGAAGGAAACACCATTATAAGATGAGGCCAAGGATGTAGACCTCTGTTTAGGGAAGTACCTTCAGGATCTTCTCATACAAAAGTAGATTCTTTGGCATTCCACCCAGTAATCATGGGAAGCAAGAAAGGCTTCAGAGATGAACTGAGTACCTAGCAGGCATTCCTGATACATAGGGACTTATTTGCTGGGTACAGTGGTGTTTTTCAACATGTGTATCAATAGAAAATTTGAGGTATAGTAAGGCCAACAGATCAAGAGGCATTTGCCATTGAAAAGATAGTTCATGACTGGGCATGGTGGCTCACGCCTGTAATCCCAGCACTTTGGGAGGTTGAAGTGAGGGGATCACCTGAAGTCAGGAGTTCAAGACCAGCCTGACCAACATGGTGAAAACCTGACTCTACTAAAAATACAAAAAATTAGCAGGGCATGGTGGTGGGTGCCTGTAATTCCAGCTACTCGGAAGGCTGAGGCAGGAGAATCACTTGAACACGGGAGGCAAAGGTTGCAGTGAGCTGAGATCACGTCATTGCACTCCATGCGCTCTAGCTAGGGCAACAAGAGCGAGACACCATCTCAAAAAAAAAAAAAAAAAAAAAAAAAAAGAAAAGATAGTTTATCACTCACAGTTCCCAAGAGGAGGGGACATGCCACACCATGGGGACCTCATAGGGAAGCCCTGGGATGAGTCAGGAGGCAGAGGAAGAGGAGAGAACAGTGGCCAAGAGCCTTTGTTGTATATTCCTTGGGAAAAGCTTGGATGAGGCAAGGTGAACTGACTTAGGATTGGCTAGTTTAATAATTTCAATGGACTCTGAGGGTTAGAGACTATCCCTGCCTGTTTGGTATTTGGCCATAGGGTAATTAGGGCGGGGGTGTAGTAGCTTGGAGTGTGAGAGACCAGTAAGAGAGGTGGTTTGGGGCTGTGAGCTCTGGGTTGGTTGGTTTTTATTTGAAAAGCATAACCTGGGAGGGGGACTTCTCCAGATAAAGGGAGTGGGGGTGTCAGTTGACAAGGGAGGCAGGAGGACGAGGCAACATGACTCAGACATGTTATTGGGTTGTCTAGAATGAGGTGTGTTTGACATATGCATGTAGGACAGATACGAAAATATCAAGTTCACAGAAGTTAGGCGTGTGGTTAATACAAGTGGCTAAAAGCCAACATTCTAGAATCAAACTGCTTGATTTCTTAATATGTAATAATGGCCTAGTGTGGTGGCTCATGTCTGAAATCCCAGTACTTTGGGAGGTCGAGGCAGGCAGATTGCCTGAGCTCAGGAGTTCAAGACCAGCTCTGGGCAATGTGGTGAAACTCCGTCTCTACTAAAATACAAAAAATTAGCCAGGCGTGGTGGTGTGCACCTGTAGTCCCACCTACTCGGGAGGCTGAGGGAGGAGAACTGCTTGAACCTGGGAGGAGGAGATTGCAGTGAGCCAAGATCATACCACTGCACTCCAGCCTGGGCAGCAGAGTAAGACTCCGTCTTCAAAAAAAAAAAAAAAAAACAAAAACAGTAATAACACCCCCACCCACCATATGATGGGCCTGAGAAAGGTATTAAGCAGGGCACATATTATAACCCATTTACTCCTTATAATAACTCAAGGGCACAGGTACTATTATCAGTCTCATTTTACATATGAGATCAGTGAGGCCCAGAGAGGTTAATATATGAAGTGCTTAGAACACTGCCTGACATCTAATAAATGCCAAATAAGTGTTCACTACTATTATTCTTACTATTATCATTGTTGGCATTTTTCAGGGATCCAAGCCAGTCACGGTTAACCTGCTCACGCACATCTGATGGGTAAAGCCAGTGCCTCTGCAATTTGAATGATTTGGATTACAGAGTCAAGTTCATGTTCTTTTTTGGCAGGAGGATGCCCAACTATACAACAAAGAGTTGCCGAACATTTCTCTGGAGCGAACAAATAGTGTGATGGATGGAACTAACTGGATCACCAACATGTGAGAGACGGCTGGTTCACTGGCCTTGGCCTCCTCAGACCTTGACATTAATTCACTGGGTAAGGCTCTGGTGGCCCAGCCAGGGATTCTTCCTTTGCTGTTTCTAAGTGAGAAGCTCTTCCCTCTGGCCTTGGCCTGGAAACTGAACTCACTTTCCTTTGACCTCCTCCACCCTCCAAAGGCAAGTCTTAACAAAACAACATATTCCCCATGCAGGCTTTTAGAGTACAAAAAACCCTGCTAGACTGTGGTCTTGAGGATGTCACGAATGGAACAAGGTGGACATCTCTCATGGCATGCTGAAAGACAAGTAGTGCACAGATACAAGTATGCATTAGGCAAACACAGTATCAAAGTGTGGAATTTAGGACCCAAATCTCAGTTCTGATGACCTAGCCTATCCTTGGCCTTTTGTCCTTATTTGGCTCTCCAGGAAGTCTTAGAAGTGTTCTGAAATGCTGCTTCTCTTTGTTTCATTTGAGTCACATGGGTAATCTTTGGCTACTGAGGAAGCACAGCCTTTCTGAACAACAACCTCTGATAACTTAATAACTTTTTTCTCCTCTAACCATCCTCTTTGTTACCATTGCTGTTTGTGAAGGAAAGGTATATTTAGGTTTCCTGGGCATGCGGCTTGCTTATCTAACCGAACATGTACATATTAACCCGACTACATGGCCCACCGACTTCGCACTTCAATATTGTTCAGCTGATAGTTGGGTTCAGTAGGTGGAGGAAATGGGTACAAGGATGTCATTTTCAGCAGGAACAGCTGAAGCAATTTGGATGACTTGTGTTTCTGTGTTCAGACAGTATAGGCTAAACCTGCCTCTGCACGAGCTCACAGATAGCAGGGTGAGTGACCCTGAGGGGACTGCTCTAGGATAACAGTGTTTCACAGATCTGATTACAAGGAATTCTTGACAATGAATAATCAGGACAATAGAAGCTGTTTCCAGCAACTACTAATGTAGTAATCACTCTTCCCGATGAAAGTACCAAATTGTTCTGCAAAGCGGTGAGCTGAGCTCTGTGGAAACAGATCATGTATTTTGAGAGGCATAACTTGAGAGCATCTGGTAGCACCCCTAGTTTTATTTCCTCCACAGTAAGGTTTTAAACAAAGGTGCCCTGGCTCCTAGATCCTGTGGAGGAGTTCTTCAACCTAGTCCTTGAGAAGGCATAAAAAGAAGCAATGAGCCAAAAACAAACCCAAAAACCTCTCTTTAAAAAGAGCAAAAAAGATCTTTGTACCTAGCCTATGAAATTATTCTTGACTCAGGGAGGCCATTAGTTCTGGGACTCAATGTGTGAAGATGGCTTAGAACATAGAAAAAAATGTCTTTCTTGTGTTGCTAAAATATTAACATTTGCAACTCTTTGGCAATCTTTTTTAAGATTCACAAGCCTGGCCGGGCGTGGTGGCTCAAGCCTGTAATCCCAGAACTTTGGGAGGCCGAGACGGGCGGATCACGAGGTCAGGAGATCGAGACCATCCTGACTAACCCAGTGAAACCCCGTCTCTACTAAAAAATACAAAAAACTAGCCGGGCGAGGTGGCGGGCGCCTGTAGTCCCAGCTACTCCGGAGGCTGAGGCAGGAGAATGGCGTAAACCTGGGAGGCGGAGCTTGCAGTGAGCTGAGATCCGGCCACTGCACTCCAGCCTGGGCGACAGAGCGAGACTCCGTCTCAAAAAAAAAAAAAAAAAAAAAAAAAAAGATTCACAAGCCTGAATTGAAGTCCAAGTTCTACTCTAGCTAGCTGGGCGAACTTTAGCAAACCATTGATTTTCCTTGGAGGTCCAGTTCCTTCCTCAAGCATTCATTTAACTGAAACATTTAAAAAAAAATAAAATTGAAACCAGCTCAGTTGTCCCACAGAACTGATGTTTATGGTTTCTTTTGAATAAACATAGAAATTGACCCCCTCCACCCAGTCTTAAAACTTGAGAAAGTTGCATTTGTCTTGTCTGAGTTCTTTTCTCAGGAAACCAATCATCAGTCCTCCCAGATAGTATCCAGGAACTGAAATGCACCAGATGACCACATCCAGCTAACCAGAAGCCGAAGCCCTCATTCCTCATGATTTCCTTACTCCTCCCTAATTCCTGTTTACCTGCGTGCAGTTACAGTTCTTCCCTGCTATATAAACACCCAGTTTTAGTCAGTCAGGGAGATGGATTTGAGACTGCTACCCTATTCTCCTCAGTTGTAGCACCCAAATAAATCCTTCTTCCATGGCAATACTCATCGTCTCAGTGATTGGCTTTCTGTGTGCTGAGCAATAGGACCTAGATTCTGCAATTAGCTTTATACTTCCAAGTTGGGAGTCAAAGGAAAAAAGAGTTTGCTTTACATTTTTATACTCTTATTGTGTCTGGGGTTTGTTCCTTCCAGTGGGTTTGTGGTCTTGCTGACTTCAAGAATGAAGCCGCGGACCTTCATGGTGAGTGTTATAGCTGTTAAAGGTGGCATGGACCCAAACAGTGAGCAGCAGCAAGATTTATTATGAGGAGCAAAAGAACAAAGATGCTACACCATGGAAGGGGATCTGAGTGGGTTGCCACTGCTGGCTGGGGTGGCCAGCTTTTATTTCCCCATTTGTCCCCACCCATGTCCTGCTGATAGCTCCATTTTACAGAGTGCTGATTGGTCCATTTTATAGATTGCTAATTGGTCCATTTTACAGTGTGCTGATTGGTCCATTTTACAAACCTCTAGCTAGCTACAGAGTGCTCATTGGTGTGTTTCTGCAGAGCACTGATTGGTGCATTTTACAAACCTCTTGTAAGACAGGAAAGTTCTCCAAGTCCCCACTCGACCCAGGAAGTCCAGCTGGCTTCACCTCTCATTATTATGATGAAAATGAAAAAACTTATGAATACACCATCTTGATGGCTTACAGTCATTTAATATAGTCTGGAATTGGCAAACTGACTTTTTGTCTATGTTCAAAGGAAAATAGTCCACTACACTTTTTATTTAAATTCCAAAAATCACCCACTCTATAAGTTTACTAAGAAACCAGGCTACCCTCTGTAGCCTGAAATTCAATATTTGAAATTGGGGCTGTAATGGAAAATTACAGCAATTGATCAAAAAGTTTCATGTTACTATTATTATCCCTTTAAACTGTCCTCAGACAGTTCAGTGATGCTTTTTAGAAGTGGCAGCCAACTTTGAGTCTTGTCTCAATCTTTATTTGAAGTCATAAAATGTGACATTATAAATTCAGAAATTAAACAGCATTGCTAATACAGAAGTACTTCTGAAGGTGGTGCATGCATGCTAATTATCATCCTTAAAATAATCCCCCAGACACCAAACATTTTCTGAAATAGCTCAGTTATAATAAATACATCTGCAAATCATCTTTTATGGGTATGATTCATGTGTGCACACATTTTTGACAGTGCGATAAGATGTACGGAGTAGGAGTACATTTCCATTCTTTCTGAACATTTCTGGCCACCAGAAATACTAGGCACCAAAAAACTAGGCACCAAAAAAACTAGGCAGTCCTGGTGAATATCGAGTACCTTACATCTTTGGTATTCTATAATAGATAAGAGGTGGATTCATGAATTAGTAACTTTATTTATCTGAGACATACAATGTCCCAATTTGAGGAACTTTTTTTACTTACACACTGAGATTGTCTTGGGCACATGTGGAATTGGGGTTCCCCACTTGATTCCATTTGAAGACCCAGGAGAGCCCTCAGCTCTGTTTTGCCTATCTACTTGAACTTCTGAAATTTTATAGTTAGAGGTGCAGTATTTGGATAGACTATCCACATCCACACAGGTGTCTTCTTTTTAAAATGCATTTACTGTGCAGGATAAGATTTAAAATACAGATATCTTGACATACAGATATCTAGGTAAGAGACACCTGCAAGGTAAGAGACATTAATCTGTCAGACAATAAAATCTTAGTATAAATAAATTTTCAAAAGTTAGAACAAATGAATAATTGATGGGCAATGACTCTTAGCCTTGAAGATTATATTGCTTTGAGGATTCTGAGTTCTGTCTTCCACTAAGAGTATCTGTCTTGGGTTTGGAGAGAAGAAAGTATGGCATTCAGGTGAATTTTTGGTGCATAAGACCTAGATATTTTGGTGATGGATGAATGGTTTATTTTTAAATAAAAATTGGGACAAAAAGTCTGGCAAGATTTTTTTGTTGTTTCTGGGTCTAAGAGGGAATACAAGAGACAAAATTTAGATATGGACATAATGCAATTTCCAGCATAATTTTATGATTTATAGGAAAAATTGAACATTTAAAATGAAGACTGCCCTGAAAAATTTCATGGTTAAGAAAGTATGCTGGCTTAGCTGGGTCCACAGCAGTAAAGGAGTGGACATTCTGAGGCAAGGATGGTGAAAGGGAGGGAAGGAAGGAGACTTTCAGATGTGACATTGTCTGGGAAGTGCAGGCATGGGCAGGTGAATCAGTTGTTATATGAAATGCTTATGTTGCACATATCCCACTGTAGCCCCTAAAACTGTTCACAAGTTGGCTTCTGTCCCCATGTAGGCCAAATTTCCACTATTCAGGCTGTGAAGGGAGTTGTCTCCTCCAGAGAGACCCTGGCCTTTAAAAGAACACAAATGATTTTATTATGGATAACCAAATTAGAGATAATACTGTTAACCCCATCTGAGAAAAACAAACCAAAACAAACCAAAGCTGGAGGGGCAGGAGTGGTCATTTGAAATGATTTTCTTCTTATTAATTTCTTGGGTCATTTAGGAACTTGCAAAATTTTGAACCACTCAACCCTGGTCCTTGGCTTCTCTAGGCTATCACTGAATTTCCCTTGTACACACTTCTTTTCTTCTAGTCACCCAGGGGTGCCATTTTAGTGCAGAGCAGAGCCAAGAAGGTTAGCACACTAAATATCAAAAACAGTCCCTAGGAGTTATCACAAACCTCCTCCCAGGTTTGTGGCTTTGGGAGGAGAAGAAATGAAGTGGCTATCTCCACGTTAGCACTGACTTTCATGTCTCCCTTCTTTAACTGCTTCCTCCTGGGCTACTGACCCTAGTGAC